TCAAACAAAGTAAAAATATTGGATTCTGTTTAAGATCCAAAACCAAATTTCATGTTTATAACTATGTGGATTTGTAGCTGCTCTGCTTTCTGCTCTTCTGTTTGAAAGCGCAGACAAAGAACTTCCGGGGGGGCTGGTATTATAACCCTCCACCTTCCTTTGTTCTTTTTCTTTTAGGAAAAAAAAAGTCCTGATCTGACCATCAGTATTATTTATGTTCTCAAAATTTCTTTGCCTTTTCCAGATTTAATTTATAGTTGTGGGTTAGTTAAATTCTCTTACCAGGTCTTTTATCTCTCCCAGTCTCTGCCTGTTCCAAATTTATTTTGACAAAAAGGACAGCATCTTGTCAGCCATGAAGGCTACCATCCCAACTCTGATTCATAGGCAAATCTCTAACCCATGAGAGATCTGTTGCTTCTCTGAGGGTCTGATGAGACGCTGCTCTTCTTCACCCACATCTCCAGTGGGGTTCCCTATTCAAAAGAATATTCAGAGATGGTTTGTCAGACAGGGTTCGTGTGAGACTCTTATGAGCCCACATCTCCCAAGTCTGTCCAGCTGGAGAACTTCCTATCGAATCACAAGAACTGATCTTAAGGACTTTCATTTTCAAGAACTCTCAATGGCAGCTGATAGGATTTGGGGCCAAGGGAGCTAGGATTTTCAACTGGCCAGGGAGAATCGAGCTGAAGTTCGCCTAGGTTTGTGTCTTTGAGCCAAGCTTTCCCTCTGCTGTATTTCAGAATGGAATCCAGCACAAAATCTAACTTCATTTTTTCACTCTTAAAAACAGTAACAGCTGAGAATCCACTCCAAGAATCCACTTGGTAGATTAGTTTCAGGAAGCAAAAGAGACACAGGGCCAGGTCCTGAGAGTGGCCTTTCATGGGGCTGCTGAGCTTCTTCCAACTCCAAGAAAGGCACCTAATGGGGCCCATGGGCACAGGCGCACTGGCTGCCGAAGTTAGAACACTTTGCACCCTTTCACTTTCCACAGGCTCCATATTAGTCCCTCCAGGCTTTTAAAAGAACCCCCACATCCCTACCACCCATGCCAAGCTGGCCATGCCTACCCAGCGACACCCAGTCATGCCTACCTGGCTATTGTGAACTTTACATGTAACTGGCCCTTTGAGGGCAACCAGAATGCTGATATGGCCCTCAATAAACTTGAGTTTGATATCCCTGGTCTTATTCATTATATCTAAGCTATGAAACAGTTTATGTTGCCTGAAAGATACTATTAGGACAAATAGTGCTATAAATGATACTTATAGCAATGTGGAAGTCAATCAGATTGTGAGACGTACTGATTCTCAAAAATATATACAGATTCTGTAAACATAGACTCCATTTTCTCTGCCTGAAACATAAATAGGGATGGATAGAATGGATTGATGGATTTGGTCCACCAAGGATAGATTTGTTAGTAAAAAAATAAAACGGGAATTCCCTCATTTCTAGTAACTCAAAGGATATATGCTTTGGGTTTTTTTTTAACCAAGGACAACAGTAGGTGTTTTGCCTTTGTAACATTGCCAACACCACCCAGCAAAAGTAGAGTTTAAAATGGGCTTTGCAATTAGTTTCATAAAAGAATCTGGATGCTGCCTGACATGAAGAACTTGAAATTATACTTTTTCTTGCTGCTTTTCATACAAACACTACTTCCCTTCTTAAATATTAAGAGACATAGCCTAGTGTAAACTATTTTTCTCTTCTTCTAAATTAAAATACTCTTGCTTTGTCAATTTTGTGTCAAGTAAAATAAAAAGTAGAGTAAGAGTATGTAAAACAATTCAAATTTGTAATATTTTGAGCTCAAAATGCTTTATTGCACATTTGAGATAGTTGTTTGATATTAACCTTATATCTAAATGCAGTGATAAAATTTACTTTAAATTATTATAAGGAATTTGCAACATAGCTTAGTAAATTGGTAAATAGAAATATTTGTAACTCTAAGGAAATTATGTATGCAAAATCTTTACCTAGAATACTTTTTAAATAGTAACATATAATATTATGTAGTTTCACACCTGTTGTACAATTGTTGTTAATTCAAGGCAGAGTTGTATGACATTGTTTCTTGTGACAGAATAATCTGTTACAGCAGCAAAAGGTGATCTGGAAAAATAAAATATGGTAAATATACATCTTGTTAATAGTGATCTGCTATAATGCTAACTATACAACATTTTTTAATATTGAATATTAAAACTTGTCATCTGTTCGTTAAGCTGTGATCCCAGAAAGATCCCCAGGTAGCACACCTATCTCTAATGGAGAATGTAGCACCATCCAAGATTAATGAGGGAGCTCTATGTTGTGCTTCCATCATGAAAAATGCATTAACTACTATAACTAGATTGGTTCTCTAAGAATTAGCTATTTTTGGCAGGGAGAAAGAAAAAACAATTTAAAAATCACACATTCTTATTGTTTTCTCATTTCTTCTATTGGTTTTCTTTAAACTTAAAACTGCACTGCAGTAAATAGCAGAAGACAGATCATGTGGAATATAATTTAGCATCAGATATTTTAGGTTGCTTTTTACAAAAATCTTTAGGATAAATTTAGTTTGTTTAAGAATAAAAATATCTTTTAAAATAATTATTTTATAGCACTATTCTCCTATATAGCAGAATTCAAATTTAAAATGGAAATATCCAGAATACAAAACTACCTTTTTAGTTATTGCATTATTTATATAATAAATATGAAATATTGCTAAAATTATTTGACATTCCTCTATCTTCAATATTAATTCTCTGAAATGCTAGGACCGCATATACTCCAAGTGCATATATTCTAAAATATCTGTTCATCTTAAATCACAGAGAAGTGGATGTTCTGTTTTTTAGTATGTCTTATTAAGCACTCATAACTTTTTGTCAGTTGCATATTTAAACTGTATTAATTTTCTTTGTGTATTTTCTTCATTCCATGTCTATGATTTTCTTAAAACACACAGAAGCAATTTGCCATTCACTTCTGCTGTGTTTGATTTTGGAATTGTTTCCCAGGCCAATAGGGTTGGCCTCTCTCATGCTTTCCCCAGTTGTAAAGCATGAGGGAAGCTCTTTCCTTTGAACTCTACTAAGTAACCCTACCAGCAACTTTCATATCCACTGGTATTGTTCTCTGGGTCTTTGAAGCTACAAAACCCTCCCATTTCCACTGGGATAAGGACATTTCCATTAGAATATCAAAGACCAGGGTCTTTTCAGTGGCAATAATGGTTACAAAAGCTGGAGAGAAATCAGGCAGATGCATTGAGATGCATCTGAAAACAGGACACGTGCTGCAAGATCCAATCAATCACTTTCCTAGACTAAATAAAAGCTGGCTGCTCCCTTGATCATATAATAGAAGCTCACACACATATATACTCATGTGATATAAAAAGATAATGGATTAGAAGCTATGAATAAGAAATTAGAAGAAATTTGTTGGGGTAGGTTAAATATAAAAAGTAGTAGTAGGTAGATGGATCAAATCAAAAATACATTTAACAACCTGGTTTAGCAACTATTCAAACTTCTGACAGCACTAAAAAAGTGATACTTTCTACTGTCTCATTGTAGCACCCCCACAGAATCACATGATCATGGTCATACCCCTAGAAAGTGTCCTGGGTATTCCATAGTCACATGATCACAATGTATTAGTAATGTGGGATTTTAACTACCCTGATATCAACTGGGAGACAAACTGCACCAAGTGGAAGATCCAACAGGTTCCTAACAACCTAGCAGACAACTTTGTTTCCCCAAAAGTAGAGAAGGGAACAAGGGGATGAGCCATATTGGATTTAATTCTCACTAACAGAGGAAATAATAGAAGGTGTTGAAGGTACAGGAACCTTGGGGTTAAGTGATCATGCAATATTGGAATTCAACATTATGCAATCACAAGTAGTAGAACAAAGTCACACTAGAGTCTTGGACTTTAAGAGAGCTAATTTCAATAAACTTAGAGAAAGCTTGGAAAGGATTCCATGGATGAGAATCCTCAAGGGGAAAACAACACAAGAAGCTTGGGAAATTTTGAAAAGTGAGATTATAAAAGCCCACGCTAACACAATATCAATGAAGAAGAAAAATAACAGCTCTCAAAAGAAACCAGCATAAAGAACTCTCTGACAAATTGAAAGACAAAAAGGATAAGTATAAAAAGTGGAGGGTGGGGGGACATAACTAAGGCAGAATATCAGCAAATAGCCCGAGCCGGTAAAGATGAAGTGAGGAAAGCTAAGGCTCACAATGAAGAAAGTCTTGCCACAAAAGTAAAAAATAACAAAAAGCTTCTTCCAACATGTTAAAAACATGAAAAAAGTTAAGGAAACAATTGGTCCATTGCTGGGAGAAAGTGGCAAGAAGGTGACAAGCAACAGGGAGAAAGCAGAACTATTTAACTCATGTTTTGCATCTGTCTTTACGCAAAAGGATACAACAGTCCAA